CCACCACGTATGTCATATCTAATCTTCTCTCCATTTTTTGGCGGCTTTATTTTGCTGTAGGCGAGCTAGATTATCTTCTAGACGGGCAGCGTTAGAGGAACAGATCATGCCCTAGGAAATAGAATGTCGAATCCCGAGTAGTGGATTATACCTCGACCTTGATGCATGACATGCACTGGCCGGACGGTCCACAAATCAGTCATTATTAACCGAGTAACAAGAGTACCGAGTCGTTGAGAAGATCTGACAAGTGAAAGAGTAGCCATGCTTCGTGGAATCAAGTCATTGACAAAGTACGTCTCGGTTATGCGAGAGTTTAAGAAACTTTTTGAATAGATTAAATTAGTGGGCCACATATTGGTCATCTGGGACTTCTACTAGACTCAACTCATATCACCATTGTGGGACATTAATTCAATACTGATTCGTCTACGCTTTAGATTTGCTGCGCAGTGCCTCCTATCAGATTAAACGAGTGATCAGAGTAGGTATATTTTTGATGGTAGGTTCTTTGAGCAGCCATTTTATTTGTTGGAATTAGCTAAGTTACTTATCACCATCGGCATTCCGCTATATTGTGACCAGCTTCTTATCATACTGTATCCTACTTTCTTATCGCACTTGAGCCATTATCTTCTTTATGTGCATGTGCGGGGTGATAAGTCATTGGGTAAACATTGCGTGTAAGATCGGGACACATCAATATTGTGGCGATTAAGATGGTGTAGGTTCACTGCATTAAATTTCTCTGTAACAACGATTGTTGGAATACCCACTTTATTTTCAGGATATACAGACATAAATTCTCAATCTGCATATAACTTGGAACTTTGATAGAGGCAAGATTCTTCGAGCTTCACTGTTTACTCTTCTTCGATAGAAAACGCAAAGTTTGCACTTTTGCTGCTTCAAGATCTTTGCTGGCAGGATAACCACTTCATACTCCAGCGCTCCCGTACTAGTCGGCTTATATGGTCCTCTGACTTCTTTTACGCATTTATGTTGTGAGTTTCTGAGGGATTTCACTACCTATCCAGGTATTTAACCACGAGACCTAGGCTAGGCCTAGATAGCCGACTCGCATATGAGGGCTGGTTTTATAATCGTGCCATGTAGAATATTTTTCTTATAGAGAGCCACTCTAAACGTATATGGTACTATCCTACTGAGTACTGAAGCTTGTATTGTTACCTTCCGTTATAAGCTTTTTTGTGAGCTCCCTTGATTAGCCTCTAATCATAGTAAATTTCAAAACTCCGAAGAGATAGCTAGGGAGCTATTTTGTGGCTTCCAATATCGATAGTTGCTCTAAGATTATTTTGTTTCATGGCTGGTAAGAAGTGCATGAGCTGATAATCCTAGGGCTCGAATCTGACCTCATACATTTTTGCCCATTGTTTACAGATCTGATATAGCACCTCCAACATTTTCTAGGTTTTCGGATAATTTTGAATATATGAGGTTATTTGCATCATCCACAAATCCAACAGCTCATGTAAAGCTAGTTCTAAGCATCGGGAGAATTGTGCTAAATAATAGTGGAAGATTATTGGCAATGGAGAAACATTGTAGTATCCTAGTACTGTGCGGATCCGGTCTCTTTCGATTGATCCCAATAGTATTGAAGTGGTCCTTGCTTCTAGAAGACACTCCATATAGCAGCTTGTCCACTTCGCAATTCTATTCTTTCTCTCGAATTATGGATCAGTCGTTTGCGAGACGTATTTTCAAATGCCTCCGATAAGTCCAGGCTCAGGAGACGCACCCTCAATATTTATCTCCACCCCAAATAGCAAGTACCTATTCGCTCAGAATTTCAACTGCAGAAATTCTAGATTTCTACGGCTAAGCTCCCATCTGTTCGCCGGCGAGGAGACTGGAGATTTTCGCTGCTTTTTAGAGATGGATGTCTATTTGAAAATCGGTATGGGCTCGATGATTAAGGCGGCTCAAAGAATAAGGGCGCGATTTATGAGTAGAATAATAATGATATGATTCGGGGGAATAAGTGATATACTGTGGAGAAATAAAAAATGGACTGAATTAGTTGTCTCTCTTAGGGATCCTTAGACAGCTTCTATACATATATCTCAGTAATACAAAACTAAACCAAGTATCGACGCCGAGCCTAGTTCCATAATCTGGCAATTCCAATGAGAACAGGGTTAGTGAATCAAACTCTACCCACCGGGTATCATATCACTCCATGCTTCAGTCGAGTCCCACACATGAAACATGCTCAATGAAGTGATTGTCATCAATTCTGGTCGTGAGTCAGATGTGAAAATTTTTGTTGTTCCAATCCTAGGGAAACTTCAAACATACAGGGTGTGAATTTCCAAAAATTTCCACCATATTTTCGAAAATTCTAACCAAGATATTGAGCAGTTAAATTGGTCCGTAAGCCTGTAGGGTATCGTACATTGGCTTTTGATGCCTTCTTAGGACAAGAGTGGTTGAGTCTCTATACTCCTTTAGGAAGTATTTTATGGCGAGGGAGTGTCACGGGATTAATCCCTTGTTTTTTTTTGTTTTTATTTATTTTGTCCTAAGCTAAAGCTATGTTTTCCACATTGGGTCAAGGACCGGCGGATCCGGCAGGGTTCCCTGTAATCTTTCCTACAGCCTAACTCGTTCCAACCTCGTGAATCGCTACCAAAAGTGCAGCTGATTAAACAGAAACGAAAAATCAAGAAAATCAAAACAACTCCGAAAAAACCAGAAGATTCCTCCATAATGGACCCAGTCAATGTGCTCCTCACACATTCCGTCGTCCGTCACACCTTCCAAATGACAAATTTACTTAATCTCCGCTGAGAGCAGTAGATGAGTTAGCAGGCACCTTTGATCCAGCCGGTATCCTGCTAATTGTTAGTAGATGCCCCAGAAGGGGACATCTTCGAGGTTGCTGTGTCCTCAAACTTCTTCTTCAGGTCCCAGCACTCCGAAACCTGTTGCCTCGGCCATTGCGACATCCTTCGCCGCGGCGACGATCGCCTCTTCAGCCTTTTTGGCTGCAGCCCTAGCTCGAGCCGCCTCCGCGAACTTCCCTTGCTCGAGGTGGCGTATCCATGCGAGCTGCTCTTTTGTCACCGGTCCGGATTTTTTGGGTCTGACCTGACAGGCCCGAGAATCCGATCGGTGGGGTCCCCCACAGTTGCGACACTTAGTGAGGGCCTTGCACTCGGCTTCCGAGTGCATGTTAGATCCACAGTTCCAGCAGGCTGGAGCGCGGGAGCAACCACGGGTGGCGTGGAAGCCCAAACAGCGTTTACACTGTTCAATTTGTCGACGAGGCTTGTGTATGGTAGCCCTACCAGACTCGTCGAAGAGGCGGAAGCCCGCACGAGGGGCGACTTCCCGGTCGAAAAGGGCATGCCAGTTTCGGTGCGGTGCCCCAGGTCGACATGTCCCATGAGGTCGGACGTGTATTGGTCTTGCGCCGGGATTAATCCCTTGTGTTTGTACTGTCTGCGCCAGTACGGTAGGGATGGAATATAGGGCCTAGCTAGCTACGGGGGCTACCAATGTTGCGGTCTGGATGTGGTTGCTTAGCAACATAGATTGTTATGATCGGCGCTGACAATTACAATTCCCTATGTATACAGCGAGAAGTAGGAAATCTTCTTTCTCTAGATTTCGTTAATTAACTGATTTTATTCTGGACTTGCTCTGCTGTATACCAACACCAATTGATTCGGAGACAGGCAGGCATAAAAAAAAGACGGTATTTAATTTGCTTAGTTTTCCTGCATTCTTTTAGAACGCGTTTTGGAACTCCATCCAGATCGAGAGCTTTATCGTTCAGTAGCTTTCTTATGATTTTGTCAAATTTTTTGATAATTGTACTGGAGATATCGTGGGTACCTGCTCGGAAATATTGGGAAAAGGATTGACCAAATATGATTCTGGCTTTTACTTTGTCTTAGGGGGCAATCTTTCCATCAGTGTCTACAATGTCTGGTATCAGAACAATCGTTTTTTTTTCAGAATTATTCTTCGCCCATTTTGCAAAAGTCTGGATTTGTCTTGGATCTCCGCTTACTTCCGACACATTTGCCCTCTATTCTATGGTTTTTGCTCTATTCATTTTTTTTTCTGGTAGCAGCTTTTTGGAATTCAATCTAGCTTTCCTGTACTTTGTCGGTAGTTTATATTCGTGAGACAGCCATTTAACTTTAGTAAGAGCACACTATCACATCTGAAGCCTAGCACAAGTGTAAGTCTCACCCATCAGTACAACTAATAAACCCACTGGTTCTCGGCGCATATACCCAAAGCAAGTCCCATCGTTGGTAGGTGCGTCTGAGATACCAATTGACAGGTCTAAGTTGTACAATCATTACTTGCTTCTTCTCTAGATCTATCTGTGGCCGAATCTCAGGAAACTCATTAATATTTTGGCCATTGCATTGAGTAGTTCTTTGCGCCCTCAAGATCATCCATTCTAATATCACTATTCTAACACCCATTGAATTTTCAGTTTATTTATCGAACCATGCGCCAAAGTATACAAAAAGCGTATTTCATGCATTATCTTACATTTATCTAGCAATCATGATGGCTTTTTGTGAAAAGCTTCCAAATAACTGGCTTTTTCCATGGATCAATATTTGGCAATTATGAAATTTATGAAAATATATGTATTAGCTGCAAGAGTCAAATAGCTGAGAGGGCCTTGGGCGTAGTCTAATTCCCACTTAAAAGACCAAAAGCTAGTTAGATCTTTGGGATAATACAAGTCGACAACGGCCTAGCTGGGCATTCAGAGTCAGGTCGAAATTAATCTAGATCAAAAATAACCAGAATAAAACATGTAGACTAGTTCTCAGACCGAGTCAGCAGAGTTATGATAAACTCAAATTCAGTGAGTGGGGGTGACGTATGATCATTCAGAAGGGCAAACTAAGAAGGTGGTTAAGATTTAGTTTTTCCTGGTAATTTTATGCAACTTTGATTTGACAGTGTGCAAAGTGATTATCTTTAGTTTTCTTATCTAGCTATAATAACGAGCATGTCATATTTAAGCCATCAAAGTTAACCTTCTTATAACGTACCTCCCATTTGCCATAAGAACTAGCTTCAGGCACCTCAATATTTAGAGTGGGAAGGCTAAGAGGAAGTTCTATTAATGTACCAGCTTCACGACAAAATATTGCGGGCAGAGTCCAGCGTATTTTGCCAGGGGCGTGTGAGGCAAGTCTATGATTCAAGAGTTTTTTTGTTGCTGGCTCTAACTGATTAGAAAGAGGTTTTAGATCATTTGGACGAAACAGCCGGACTATTAAGTCAAACGACGAACAGAAACTCTCGACTATCATCCAAAATCGGCCATCAATTAAATTCCAGGATGAAGAACTTTTTCCTATGGACACTATTATATTGTAGTCGGAATCTTTTACCAGGGACGGTGGTTGGCGAGATATAAGCCAAATCGGCTTCACATCGTAAAGGCTGAGTTCGGTTGCTATTTTTGAATTCAAAGTTGTTGGATTCTTATTGGATTCAACTGGCTGAAATATTGTACCAGCGACGGTAAATGCAGCCTGTGCTATTTGGGTATCACGTGTTATTTTTGTTGCAAGTCTCTTTCGATGAAACAATTCGGGGAACAACCTGTAAATAGCGCCTCGGAGTGAATTAAGGTCAATTTGTTTTTTAGGACTGACCATATCAACAATTTTAAGCAATATCATCTCTGCCACCTGTAAAATTTCAGTGTCGCTTAAGTCAATTAGGTGTTCCGCATTTCGATGTAGATGTGGAAAGCGAATTTTTATAGTGCCAGTACGGGTATTAAAAGAACAGATTTGGATCGTTGAGAGGTACTGGCGAATAGTTTCTTGCTTTTTTTTGACCTCCTGATTTATCTTCGCAGATAGGGATATTAGGGCAGGCTTTGCAATGGCAGCCGGTAGTTGATGGTGACGGTAGAGATATCTGATTGCGTTCCTCGTTGTTATCTTAGGATCTTGATTGGTCTCATCCTCGAACCATGGCATCTGAAGAGCTTGGCATGTTGAGATAAGTCGTGATTTGCTAAATGCTAGTAGCGGACGATAAATCCTGATACCGCCAGTTTCTATCAGTAGCTGAGTACTACAGCTGCTTAGGTTGTCTGTTATTTTGCTTGGAGTAACTTGTTCCTGTAGGCTGCTCTTATTTCTTGATCCTCCACTTTCATGTACACCGTACATGCCAAAGCACTCTGGTATCGCAGCATGAGATTTGATCCCGCACAGTCCTAGACCTCGATGCCCGGCAATTAGTCTAGCAAGTATGGTTTCTACCTGATCATCTTCATGGTGAGCGAGCATTAAAGAGTCAATCCCATGTGTGGCACAGGATTCTCCCAGTAGACGAAAGCGTTGTTGTCGGGCTAGAGTTTCAATATTTGAAAGGCAACTAGGTTTTTCGACATGCCATGTTACAGTCAAAATTTCTGTGGGGATACCTCAATAGAATTAGTTGCAAATTTACTCTCAATTATAGGTCTCTCACCTCGGCTGATAAGTTCCTTGGATACCGCCTGGGCCTCGGCTTTGCTTCCATCTCTGATCCTGTGATCTACTACAAAAGCTTGGAATTTTGGCACAGTGAAGTTTTCTGTTGTGTTTGGACATGAATAACCGCAGTTCTCGTTATATTTCCACAATAAGCACAGCGCAGCAAGGGCCATCGAGTCAACACCACCACTAATCGCCAACCCTATAATTCCTGTGAGCAAGTTGCATTGGTTTTTGTGAAGGCAGATTATTTACCAATTTTAATATCACGTTGTGCATTTCTCTGTGTCTTTACGACTCCGTCTATCTTCGCAAATTCTTTGACAAATTCCTCATAACTGATAGCGATAGTAGAATGTTTTCGATATTGAATGTATGGTGAATATTTAACATAGGAAAATAACTTCAGTTTCATTCTTTGTGTTATTTTTTCATACTATCCTAGGATGATCTAGTATTAATCGCAAGGATTGGTTCCTGTGAGCCGGCCGTAAGCAATATTTGAAGATTAAATTTAGCTCGTGTTGTTTCTATCCGAATTAAAGATTTATGGCTATACTTGAAGGATTTTTTCATCTCGAGGTAAGTAGTTTTCCCTGCGCGCTGAATGTCATTTTTGGATACGAAGATAAGTTTTGTCAGACACCGATGGATTCCATGCTAGATAAAGCCGCATTACCAGAGGCTAGCTGATAGTAGAATCATTATAGCTCTTGCTTGACGAGACATCTACTATGATTTCCTGGCGATGATTTGAAAGATGGGAGAAAAATGGGTAGAGGTTTGCTGGATATGGAGCTGGCCTAAACGAGATGTTGACGCTATATTTGACACCTGTTGTGTGCCTGGACTTCCTTCTACTGGACGTGAAACAAACAGCAGGATCCTTCAGTTCAAAATCTAACATTACCGGCCCTCAGAGTGATGAAAAGAGGTCGACACACCGGTTCTGAAAACCCGCGCATCTGCCTGATCATCAAGCAGTACAAAGATTTGGCTTTCCCCAGACATCTCTACAGTTAACTAGAGATCCTGAAATGCACTTATCACTTCTGCGTCAAATGCTTCTGGTCATGGTAGAGGATTAGGGTCGTTCCTAAGTGATTGACTATTTTGGTATACAGCGTATCCCTACGTGGGTCCTGTTTGGAGGCTTTTTGGAGTAGCTATCATTTCGCAAGTATGTTCTACACGTCAAAGCCTGAGCTGTGAAAGAGCTTTTGGCATTGAAAATGCAGTAAAAGATAGCCTGCCAGTCCCTCAATCATATGTGATTGATTGGATGAACTCTTAAAATTCTTTGGGTGATTGAACGTGTATTCAACATCTAACTAGGACATATGATGGTTTGGAATAGTTTTACAATGTGTTCCTAGCGGAGTCTGTGACGATAGAGGACTTCAAGAATCTACTTTTAAGAGATCAGTTATATTTAGTAGTTTTAATCTTGTTTGCTTCAAATTTCGTCCTTCTAGAGAATGGGAGACAAGCCCTTTCGTTACACTCGACGGGTAATTATGTATTTGTGAGATGGCTCTTCGACTTCAGACACACATACTCTGTGTCTCATTCGCAAATACCACTTTGAGCTGTGTTGCTCTATCTTTATGAGTAAACCCTCCTCCGTGAGTGGCCACCAAAGACATATTTCAAACCCTTTCTTACCGAAGCATACCTTCGTTGTCCTTCATTCGAGCAACCTATTAAATATGGTCTAGTACAGCTGTACTCATTAGCGACCTTCTGTCTCAAGTGGCATAGGTATCTAAGCTATTCAGACTCTACACGCCACTCCGGGCTAAATCATATACAAATGTACCGTTCAACCAAGAAGGGGCTTAGTGTATCGCCTGCGCGTTTGTATTCTGAGAATTAGCGCACACTTTGTGTTTCAATTTGTTGAGGTCCTCCAAAATTCAAAATTTTACCCTCTTTGAGATTGCACACGTCCTTGGCTTAATTTTGTCCATCTATCCTAGCCCATTCAACATACACACTCTCACACCTATAGGAACGTACTATATCGACATACAAAGTTTCCTTGTGTGACCCGCTCGTGCTCGGTATCATAGGGCCTCAGATAGCACTTGAAGTCTTGCTTTCTTGAGCCGAGATAGACGGTTATAGATGGCTAATTTCCCAGGTGATCTTTTGAATACTGTTGGTAAAATAAGGATGATCACTTCTTGTTGGAAATCTAGACTTCGTATGTATGAAGGTTTAGATTCCTAGGTATGATCATCAAGATCAATTGAGTTGATTCGATTGAATATGATTAAGCTCAGTTGGACGAAATAAGATTCAGTGGCATCTGGAATGCAGTGGCTAGGAAATGCTACCTTGCGACAATTAAGTGGCTGGTTGTTGCTAGATCACTTTGAGTTTGGGATCACGAAAGCCTCGGGGATCTGTATTTAATGATAGACTTACTTGTATATTTTAAACTATGTTAACGGAGTATTATATATTATTAATTCACATTGAGAAGAGAGTTCGATATCACATACAACTATCAATAAATTCTTGTCCGAAGTTGTACACTTGTTCTTCGAGATATTTCCTCCTAGAAATCCTTGACAATTTCTAACACTTCTGTCCTGCGGTAGTGGACTTGATGGCTAGATAATGTTTATCACTTCTATCTCTCTAATCTAAATCTATAAATTTTGTACCGGAGATATGCTGGCTATTCACGAAATAAATCTATGTGTTGATCATTCCAGAAACAAACGCTAGTCGTGTTGTGTGTGAGTTTATTGTGCTAATTGAATTTACGACTATCTGTTATGGGCTATTGACTTGTATATGGAATCCGGAGTTTATCCGGATCCCATGAGTTGATTATGTCGGCGATAAGTGAGACAACATCCAGGGGTGATCCTACAATTATGTAGTTTTCCTATCTAGACACAAAGTAACCCCATTTTGGATACACCCGTGCAGACAACGATTCATTCTGGTGCCATTCTTTCACACTATCTAACGCATCGGGCTCCTCTCTGGCCCAGGCCACACTTTGTACAGTGCTCCTTGCCTCTTTTGTTACTTGAAAGATCATTTATATATTGCCCGTGATGAATAGCCATTCAACTCAGTGTTTACCCATGGCATTCGGCCACCTATTCCATGAAACCTCCTACCCCAAAAATAACCAAAAAATGAGAAGGTAGCAGCGGGAACTGCGTGCGCGGGAAAAAGTCTCAAAAAACCTGCAGCCTCCGCCAGGCGGGGCCTAGACACCGGGGCCACATGAGGTGCGCACATCCATCTACATGTCCCTTCTTTGAGACATACAAGGCCGACTTGATCCAATCCACCATCGCCGTGTTGAGTGCTGGGTACGCTCCGGAGAGTCATCGGATGGCATCTCCTCCATGATCAAGGGTTAGTGATGAGAAGGGCTTCGACCCCAATATCTGACACGGTCGCGGTTAGCTTCGTAGTAATGGTCATGAGGAGGTGAAACAAATACCAGTAAACTAGCCCAACAATGACATCCACAAACCCAAAATTCTGACAAATACCGTGCTCGTGTGTGTTGCCGTACCGTACTTCTAAAGACAAGGACTTCGTGGGAAAAGGCTGGAATGCCTTCAAAACAAGTGCAAAGGTCTTGGTTCATGCGTATCTATTGTACTTTGAGTGTTGTGGGTAAGATTGGTTTATTCGTGTGCTATGCATGCTATGCAACTAGCGCCCTCTGCAGTCAAAAATTCCATATTCGACTTTGATCTGGCTGATCATCCTCTGATTTATGATTCTTACCCAATTTAAGTGGAAAGACAATATCAGACTCCACTTACGTGTCGAGTCATACTAAAACCATCCGTGCAAAGATGGTTGATATAAAAGGTGAAAATTGTATTGCGTGGACGGATGATATATATCTGACATGAGTAGTCGTAAATGGCGATGAATGGACTTCAACACTATCCCATATTTGAGATATAGATAGAGATTTTGCAAATAGATTTGTCTCTTTTATCAACTTTATAGTTCCAGGCCGAAGCCTAATATTTGAGCAGAGCCAACTGAACCGGTATCAAGGTAAAAATGTAACAAAATGGGAGTCTGGCAGGAGAGCTAGAGTGGCATTCCTCATACTAGCCTTCGCTCTACCATCGATTGGACTCTAGAGATGAACTATTTCTAAGCACGCACATAGCAGAGAGAATGTTTGTCCCCAGGTCTTTGAAAGTTCTCGCTTCCCATACTGTTTGTTTGAATCCTGGGTACATTCATGCTCGATAAATCGGCTTGTAATGTTAAATATTGTCGCTCCTTTTCTAGGCTTTCACAATTTTGTAGATTTCATTCGGTAACGCACAGAGAGATCATGGGGGTCCCCTCACTTACCAACGCAGTTCATAGGAGTGTTTTTGCGCTAGAACTTACGATACTTTGCCTCAAATTCGACGTTTTATTCGTCAAGATAGTGCTGTATTTCGAGGCCTTAGTAAACGCTTATGATTATCCAAAATTTTGTACCTATCTGGATATGACTGTGATCACTTGTTACCAACAAATTTCTGCTAGTAACGGTGCATTAACAAATTAGAGTATTCCAAAGAAATATGACGTGGTGCATTATCGCGGCTGCAGCGTGTTTCCGTTCCCGCAGATTTTGGAGTGTCCCGGTGGCTGTAAAACTTCTGTATCATATTTCATGACGACACCATGGAATATGCTTGTATGCTGGACGTATGAGGGTGAATTCTATTCGGTAGGGAACTAACTGCCGCGTTATGGTCTTACAATTGGAAATTTTACCGCCATTTCACCTCGCAGGTATTGCCATTTGGTGCGGCGTAGTGCGTCAAATATCTCTTTATTATATATTTTAACCCTATACAAAGCAACCATCCCTTTCTGCATTATTTCTCTTACAGTTAAGAGATATATTTCGGAGAGGTGACCATGTCTCTAATGATGCATCTCAATATGCAAACACGATAGGCGGGGTTATGCACTTGATCTGCTCAAAATGAGCACAAACTCCTTCCTGCTTTGTCCCTGACCTTTTAGGATATACTGGCGAGTGAACCATTTTTGCAGCCTCGATAAAATGAAGCTATCTATTCACTCGTTATATGCGAGACATTTAGGCTTCTGGATACTTTCACAACCGTGACATTGACAAAAGTTTAATGTGCCAAAGTTTGGATACGCGCTCGGCAGAAGTGGAAAAAGGTTATGCTTGTAAAGTGAATGTAGTAAGTTGATAAATCGTACACAATTAAATATTCAGTAGAGCAGAGGATGGAAGAGTGGCTGACTCCCGATAGATTATTTTGTTCGACGTTGTTTGCCATAGCGGCAATGCCGCTCTGTTTGCTATTTTATTTTTGCATCAGATTTTAATTGCGTATGCAGCTATCTAGCTATGACACAATATCAGAGCTAGAATTCCTGAAT